CTACACAACATTTTTTTTTTCTGGAATTTTATTACTTTTTTTTTTTTGTTTTGTTTTTTTTGTTTTTGCATTGGGGCTGCCTGGAACCCTGCCCGGGGTCATGCCCGGCCGGGCACCCGGGCGTGTATCCGAGCACAAGCTGGGTGCCCGGACGCCCGGAAAAACAACCTAGGCAGATACTATATTTGATCATGGAGGGGGGGGGTTGGCATGTTGTTAGTCAGATAGAGGTTTCTCTCTCTCTCTCTCTCTCTCGCTCTCTCTCTTTTGCACGCGTCCACATTTTCTTTTGTTTTCGTTTTGAAGTGCAAGGAATAGGAGCGAGAGCGATAAACAGAAATCCAAGTTGCAAAATCACGAAGTAGTCCAGATAGTCATGTACAAAGCAGAGAGCACAATGCACTAAGATACCATCCAAATAAGAGCAATACAATGAACTCGAGTGCCAATGCCGACGCTCTCTGGTCACACCAACAATGTGTCCAATGTTGCTCCTACTGTCTGGCGCCCAACGCCCAGCCTACACTACTCAACCTATCTATCCTACCTACGTTCATGTGACTGGATCACATCAAAGTTGAAGACGAATGTACGTGACATCATCACCAATGCCGACCGTCAGCATACCACCAGGTACGTTCTCTCTCCTCCCCTCATCATACCCTGTCTACCCTCTGCATGCGCCTCCTACCCGAAGACCACCATCGCCATCACCTGTCTGTGCCCCAGCAGCCCAGCTATGGCCGCCATGCACCCACTACCACCAGGTACGTTCTCTCTCCTCCCCTCATCATACCCCGTCTCCCCTCTGCATGCGCCTCCTACCCGAAGACCACCATCGCCATCACCTGTCTGTCCCCCAGCAGCCCAGCTATGGCCGCCATGCACCCACTAACTCAACAACACCCCTCTCACCTCAACGCCCGCTATCGCACTTTTCCCAGTCAGGCCACTTATGGCGACCAGAAAGCCAACATGCTGTGTTACAAGATTTTGATGATTTTTGCAATAAATAATTAAAATAAGCAATGCAAATCTGCTCCTGTTGTGTGTGTCCGACTTCAAGCGAGACCTTTCAATTGCGGTCTTCATCAGTCCCGGTCTTAGGAATCTTTGATTATGATTCGGAACAACAATGATCATGCAAATAATAAATTGAAAGTTTAAAGTATACCTTGCACATATGAAGTTCGTGGATTTAAGAATTTAAGAACTGTGACAAGGTCAGCAGGAAGCATAATCTCAAGCAAGGTCAATGCAAACGAATCAGGACTGACGGACTCAAAGCAAAGACAAGATAAATGAGGGAAAAGTGAGAACTCGTAATAATCTCATAAAGTACAGATGAATAGAGATGGCGAACACTCGTCAAGAGCCTTCACTCATCCCTCTCAAGTATCATCATCAGTCTCTCATTTGACCTTGCGTCTCGTGTGCCTTGAGCCAAGTCTGTGGACCTCTTGAGATTATAGCTTAGAGATATAGAGCCACCTAAAACCTGCGAGTTCCGCGTAAGTCCATCCAAAGCCAAAGATACGAAAATCAATCATAACACAAAACTCCTCCCACAGTGTAGGAAGATATGGCTTGGAGAAGATCCCTCTCCTGAGACTCCGAAGGTTTAGTCACCGCCTCATAATCAATCTCCGTAGGCGAAATATACCTCTTGGCCAAAATAACCAAGTCACTCCAACAAGAACCGTCTGTGAGAAGGAAAGGAACTGGAGGCCCAGGATAGTCAACGTAGAGCTTGGGTCCAAAGCTACGGATCAGCTTGGTGCCACTCTCATCAAGCTCTCTCTCTCTCTCCTCAAGATATTTGGCTGCTGAGCTCCAGACTGAATCAAAATGCTCATGAGTTTCTTTACCCTTCTTCACATATGTCCTCAAGTCATGAATGGTTCCTTCTGCAAACGTGGTGAGGACATGTCTGAAGCCAACTGCGCTAACATATTGATATTGAAAAGCATCCCTGAGGGCAATCCTGTTGAGACTGGTCAAAAGTGACCCCTCAACTGGGACTGAACTGCACTCATGTGAAGGGGAAAATACTGAAACTGGTCTGAATGCCTCAGATGAGAACTCTGTCTGATTGATGCTGATCTGCGCAATGGCTGAATAATGATAATCTTGACTGAGGATCACAGATGATGTTTCTAGGTGACTGAAAGTTGTTAAATAGCCGGTCACTGAATGCTGAAGACTGGAAGAGAAGTTCTTGAATATTAGATAATGCTTGCCGGGAAAATCATCAAAGGGGGCTTTGAAGGGAAAAACTGAGATCTCTCAATGTCACTTGAGCTTTGCCTTTGCCGTCTCAATGGTCTCTAGTGAAGAGTCGATACTGTGCAGTTTACCATTGAGATCATAAAAGTGAAAGACATACTCAATGTATTTCTTTTCTCCGATTTTCAGAACTGCAGATTCCCTCAGGGTCAGCTTGTAAAATTCCATGTCTTGTTCAGTCTCAGTTTCCCACCCCTCGTATTTGTCCTTATTGATATTGCATCTTATTACTAGTATGCCTGCATCCCTCATAGTCCTGTTTTCCGTTAACGGCCAGCAGTCTATTGCTCTGGCTGACACTCTACCCTTGGTTCTCCAATATTGCAAGCTGCTGAGATTTTTGTTGTTCTGCCACTACGCTTCTAGTCAACTTATTGCATAAGAGGCCTGAACAGTAAAGGTTTTTGTCAGGTGCAACTCACACAACAGGACCCGCTGGACACGGTTCACACAGCAGAGCCTGCTAAGTGTGATTCAAACTGGAAAATCTGCTAAGAGTGGTTCTCACAGCTAAGTCGGCTAACAGTGTGTTGGATTTTCCTTTTTGCTAGTTTCTGGCTTTCACGATATCGTTTCCAGCTTACACAGTAAGGTTATAGTTAGCCTACTCATGCAGTAAAATCTCACTAATGAATCTAATCAAACATGAGGTATCACTGATAACCATCCATGCCTGCATGAGTGAAGGGTGACGTTGAGCGCCGACCTCACTAGCATTCAGGGCTGAGTTACCGCCAGACGTGAGTCCAATTTGCAAAGTACACAAAATATTTCAACTCATAGCTTTAGCTCGTTTATTTGGCACGGGTTACTACTGGTTATACCCCTCCTTATAACAATCGCAGCAATCACTCGTGTGTGATGCAAAGCACATGGTATTGCAATGACCATTAGTATAATACTAAGCGGAAATGGGCCACTTGTTTTGGTTTGGGTAGATTTCAATAGTGCCACGAATTCGAAAAGTAATAACAAGAATAGCGAGCCCAATAGCAGATTCTGCAGCAGCTACAGTTAATACGAATAAAGCAAAGAATTGACCCATCATGTCATCTAGATAAACAGAAAAGACAAAGGCTTTTTCTGGTTGGCTGGTTCGGCCGAGCATATGGTCGCTTTATCTGGATGATACTACACAAAAACAAATAAATAGTAGTAAAAAAAAAGGGCTCAAAGAGTGTGATTACTGTTGGAACATATTTACAGGTGTCTGATAATTCAGGTGCAAAAATCGTAACGCCATGGGGAGAAGCACTAAACAAAATGGGTATTAGTTTCATCATTCTTGGAGTGGCAAATTCTGACGAAAACATAATTTCGTTTTTTGGTAGTATGAAAATAAGGCGTCCCTCTGCCACTCGCTCATTTTTTAGTACTAGGACTCGAGTACCGCTGGCATGTTTTGCTCAGTGGGGAAGTTTCCCTCTATTGAATATACAAGGAATTGAAGGTAGTATTTTACTCATGTTGTTTCCTGTGATTTCTTGGACGGAGCAACTCTGCTGACGAGCCCGTGGGATTCAGACGCGAAGCGTCTGCTCTTTGAGCCTTTGCCAAGGTGGAGAACGTCATGTGCTAAGAAATGGAATCCTTCCCCCATAGTGACTATGCGAGTTTGATCAGGCTGGAAAGAGCCTGAAGGCTCGTGTTGCTCTGTAACCGACTTGCGTGCTGCAACTGTCTGATACCCCACATATGGAAAAACGTCGACAGTAGGCGTCACATGGATATTCAAGCTCGCCTTCACTTAGGGCGAGCACAAGGTTGCTGGGGGCCGCAGCCTAGAACAATTGCATGTCTGATAAGGGCCCCGCGAGAGCTCATTCCTCGCATTCCATCCCCCTTAAGCTTCGAAAGTCCGCTGAGATGCTTCTACGCAGGTGCTTTCCCCTTAAGCCTTCGTTCATACTCAGTCACGATATGAGGTGATGTTTCGCCGAGCTCCTCTCTTGTGAACCAACACTCTTCCTTTAGATCCGTATGACACCTGAATTTGAATCCAGATCCTCTATTTGAGCAGAGTGAAATAAGCCCCTTTTTTGTCTCTTTTTTAAAAGTTTTTTTTTGTTGGGTGAGGGGTTTTCGCACATGTACAGAGGAACCCAAACCCAGGCTCCTTTCTCTTTTCGAGTGTTGGCTGTCAGGGGGGAAGAAGGGGGGGGTATAAATTGGTTTTTAACTTTTAAGGGGCTAGGGTGGTGCCTTACTCTGATTTTGTTGTTTTCTATTTTATCTTCTATTCTGTGCGGAATTTGGATGTAACCCTCAGCCAAAGTCGTTTGTATTGCAATTCTACACAACATTTGTTTTTTTTTTTGGTGCTGGAGCTGCCGAGAACCATGCCCGGCCTGGCACCCAAGTGTGTATCAGGGAAAAGTTGGGTGCCCGGGCGCCCGGACAGACAGCCTTGCCATACGTTCTATTCTGGTGAAGACAGTAGCAGACACATGAGTGGGCGTTTTGACCACATGGGCTGGGCACATCCGATGGACGCATCTAAACGACTGAATGTTGCCCCAAAATGAATGTCACCCCCTGACATTATTATATCTGTTGAATACCATTCCATAAGGACTCGAACCCATGACCTGTTTGTTAACAGTGATATCCGTGCGCCATTCAGACACACGACAAACAGTCTGGCACAGTCATGCATTAGTAGTGGAGTTGTGCATAGTGAATACGACAACAGGTGCGAGGTTCTTGACACTTACTCTCTTGGCATTCAGAATTCGCCTCTCCGCCTCAGCCTCTGCTTCCCCTCCGCGATGATCTTCATCCTCTTCATCCTACACAAATACAATCAAAACACCATCGAGACTGATTTAGATTTTTATATCCCTTTGAAGTTTAAACTGATTTTCAAGTTATCTCATCTTATCTGTAATTGTGAGCTATGGGTAGTTGGTGATTGAATGCAGAAACAATTTGTCTATCACTAGTATTATACGAATAAAAAAGTAATAAGTTAAACAGCGAAACAATTAGCACCATAGTCTGCACCTGAGCCACATGTCTCTCTCTCTCTCTCTCTCTCTCACACACACACACACACACACACACACACACACACACTCACACACACACATAGACAGAGGCACATAACTCTGGACGATATAGAGTCCAATGCATCCTGGGCAGAGTGTTGGGGTTCAACCTCCTGACAACTTAGTGAAAGTACGACAAAACGGTCTGGAACAGTCGTATCTTTTTCATGGAGTTGTGTATAGCGAACATGACAACACACACACACACACACACACACACACACACACACACACACAMACACACACACACACACACAACACTGGGAAGCATAGTGCATCCCTATCCATCAGTCCAATGCACCCTGGACAGGGTGTCAGGGTTCAACCTCCTCGTGAAATTCCGACAAACAGTCTGGCACAGTTATGCCTTTTCCCTAGAGTTGTATATAGCGAACATGACAAAACACACACACACACACACACACACACACACACACACACACACACACACACACACAACACTGAGCAAAATAGTGCATCCTTATCCATCAGTCAAATGCACCCTCGGCAGGGTGTCAAGGTTCAACCTCCTCATGAAATTCCGATAAACAGTCTGGCACAGTTATGCCTTTTCCCTAGAGTTGTATGTAGCGAACATGACAACACACACACACACACACACACGCACACACACACAATCAGTTTATTTTTGTATGTCTGTCTTCTGTTCGTTGTTTGTCTTTCCTCTGATCTTTTTCTACGTACTTTTTATGTGCCCAACTGAGCACCTTTAAGTAGTGCCAAACAGTCGGTCATTCCTCGTCTGGAGTGCTGCAGCACTCTTTGGGGGGGCACTCGGTTCGGGATGTCTGTGTGCCTGTGGGTGATGATGGATGGTCATCGGAGTGACTCCCTGGCTCAGAGGGTGGTGGGAATCAATAGTCTGCGGTGTTCAATCCTGATGTGAGTAGGTGATGTGCCGCATTGCTCCGTGTTGGATGTGTGACTGCCCCATCTGCGCTCCGCTGCTGCCTTGCTGCCTGTCCCGCTTGCTCCGCATGTGGTTCTCTGCAAGTTGCTGTGGACGCTGTGTGGTGTGGCCTTGTTGTTGGCGTTGCCTTGCGCTTCACTGCTCCACTGCCTTGGCGCCCATCCGCTGGTCGTGCCTTCCGTGTTTGTTGCTTGCGTGCCTTGTAATTTGGTTTCCTTGTTGGTGTTGCCTTGTGCTTCACTGGACGGTTGCCGGGCTGCTTGCCCGCTCGCCCTGTCGTCCATTGCAGTGTGGTTGCCTTGCTTGTGCTGCCTTATGCTTCACTACACGGTTGCTATGTTGTTCTTCTGCTTGTCGTGCCGTTCTGCAGTTGTCTTTGGTGTTGTGTGGCTGTGTTGCCTCTACTGCGTTGCCTGGTACTCTGTAGGGTGGCTGCCCGCTGCTACGTTCTGCTTGGGGACAGTCCGCCTTCAACATGGGTCAAAGGGTTCATGACCCAAACCATCAAATATGCAATAACCCATGTAGTATGCCTCATGGAAAAGTCTAAGGGCCTTGCAGGCCGCACTCAGACCCAGGTAAAATGGGGGAAAAGAACCCCACATAGAAATTCACGGCCTGGACGAATGACAGTTGAACTGTCGGACACCCAACAGTCAAAATCAAAGTGTACCCAGCCCAGGCCGCCGGTCAGACGCACACATTTGTTTGTATGCAGGTCCCCAGACAGCATCAGGACCAAAGGGAAGTCTGCAACTGTATGCAATCCAGGCCCTCGGCTGTGAGTCCATCTGTACGACTGTGGGAGGGGGACCTGAGACCAGACAGCCTGGTCAAATGCTACATAAGGCTTGGTCTCCAGGTGGGCAACATTCACTCTTGCTATGCTGCCTTGGCGCTGGCTTGACGCTAGCAGAGCGCTGACTCGACGCTGGCTGCACGTTGGCTGGACGCTGGCTTGACGCTGGCACTGTGGACGACGACGCGGGACTGTGGCAGCATGCTGGCGCTTTCTCTACTGTGTGCCAGGCATTGCTGATGTGGCACATGCCACGTGTCTACATTGCTGATGTGGTGCATGCCACTTGTCTACATTGCTGATGTCGCGCTGCCACCTGTCTTCATTGATGATGTGGCGCATGCCACCTGTCTGTACTGCTGACGTGGCATTGGCCACGCTGTCTACATGAGGTGGCTGGTTGCGACGAGTCCTGAGGTTGAAGTCGTTACCGTATACTGCTGTTGTCCTAATGGTCTCCACGAGATAAGAGTGCCACGTAGCACTTCTGTGTGATCAGGACTTATCAGANGTCGTTACCGTATACTGCTGTTGTCCTAATGGTCTCCACGAGATAAGAGTGCCACGTAGCACTTCTGTGTGATCAGGACTTATCAGACTTGTTACCGTATATTAGTTGTTGACGTGGAGGCGAGGGGAAGCCTGGAGAAAGAGTGGGAAAGGATTGGGGCTACTCTCTTTTTTTTTTTTTTTTTTTTTTGAACTTCCTTCGAGTGATAGTGGTGCTGGTAAGAGCAGACACCACTAGCACCTGAGGGGAGGCTCCATCTATTGGTGGGGAGCATCACCTGCTGGAAAACGGGTCCAGCGTCCCAGATACAGAGAATATTGGGGCTACTCTTGTGTGTTCATTGATTCTCTTCCACCTTCTCCTCTGTCTATTCCCCCTCCACTCTCTTCATCTTTGGTAACGAGATATTGTTTCAGATATCACTTCATGTTAACTGGAGACATTGTGCAGATCTGAGTCTGCTTGTGCTCTGACGTCTGATGAGTACCTTCCAGTCTGGGTTCATTACAAATATGGAGATTCCGCAGATTGTTGAGGGTTCAGCCTCCTGATGAGTCGGTGCAACTCGGACAAAACAATCTATCATCATCAGTTTTTATTTTTTTCAGTTTTCTTCGGTAATTGCCTTGTCCGCTGGTTGCCGTCATTTTCCTGCCTTATGTGCTTGTGTGTTGTCTGCCCTCCCGCCTCCCCCCTGCCCTCCAACCTATGTGTTGTCTTATTTTCTTTTGCTTCCCCCTTGTGCCCTTCAGTCTATGTGCCTTGTTGTGCCTTGTTCTGCCGATGTTTTTCAACGTTGGAGCATGTCTGGTATAGCGTTCACTGTTCAGTGTTTGGGTTTGGTACTTGGCTTATCTGCTGGTTGTTGTCATCTGCCTGCATTGTGTGCCTGTGTTGTCTGCATACGGGGGATGAGCCCTTCATCGCCAGGGAGCAATGACACCAGGACGAACGTGGAAATATCCATTTGCCCTGGTAAATGCCATTCCTGCCACACTTGAGGCATGCCATGCTTGCACGGTTACAGAGTACAAGGTGTGCCGGTGATCTTTCATCGGAGAGATGCATAACGCAGGCAAACGTGTCATGGCATATTGTACGTACATAAAACACACACACACACACACACACACACACACACACACACACACAAACACACACACACACACACACATACGTACATAAAACACACACACACACACACACACACACACACACACACACACACACACACACACACAACCGTATTATTATCATTTGTAGCTCGTAGCTTCATTTTTCTTTATCTCCGAAGTGTTTTCCTTGTGTTGTTTCCATTTTTGTGTGGTTTGAACTTTCCCCATGTCAGTGCCTAAGTCTAGTACCTCTAAGGTGTGCCAAATCGTCAGTGTCTGATTGCATGGAGTGCCTGTAACACTCTTCAGGAGGCTGCCGTGTCAGGGCTACCTCTGCCTGTGTGTTTTCCAATTGTGAAAAAAGGCATTCATCCGGTGGCTTCCTTCCTTCTGATGGCCGGGTGAACCTACAGCCGTCCACGTCTTCCATATGACGCAAGTACATGATACTCTGCCTTTATCCTTGCTACCTCCAAGGGTTTCTGTGTTGCTGTGTCCCTTGCAGTATGTGTGTGTCCTGCCCGCCTGCATGCATTGTCATTTGTTGCCTATTGCCGTTAGGTTGAGTGCCTTGCTGCGTCGTTTCCTCCCCTGCCCACTACTCTGTGCTATATGCGGCCTTGGCCATGGTGTCGTATAACTTCTTTCCTGTGTTTGCTGGTCGGTGACAGGGTTTGAAGCTTGGTTATGACAGCAGACTGTCGGGGGTTCAGCATCCTGATGAGTCTGTCCAATGTCTGATGAAACGGTATCTAGTATCTATCCCTCGGGGCTCGTCGCACCACTTGCCATATGCCAACATTCTGAAGGTATCTGCACGCCAGCCTGGTCCAGATACGTTCAAAATTTTGGTGTTTGGCGAGTCGTGCGGTGAGCCCCTCAGCTGTTGTTTGTTTCGGTTTGCTATATGCATATTTGTGTTCTTCTTTGTGTGCTGCATAGGAGCATGTAAGGGCATACTCACACTAGGACTTTTTCGACTAACCTCTGGTTGTAATTGGGGTGTCATACATCCGGAGGGGTTTGTAATTGCAGCCAGATACATTCACAAAAGTGTCAGTGCGAGTACGCTCTGAGGTTGGATTCGTTAGGACCCAATCTGGCATTGCCTGAATTGCATCCTTTGTTAACAAGCAAGATGGAATAGGGCCTCGCTGCACCACTCGGTAAACACCAATATTCTGCATGAATCTGAACAAGGAATTGGTCTTGACACAGGGCTGCACCAGCCACCGGCCGGTTGGAACCCCGATGGTCCAACCGGAAATCCGGTTGGGCCCAAAAACGGGTCTTTTTTTTTTTTTTTTTTTTTTTTGATG